GTTTCACTTGTCGTAAAAAAACTCAGAGATTAATTGATTTGCAATTGAAGAAGTTGTAATCTTGCAAAAGAAATTTCAGGTGATCATGCAAATAAAATGGTCCCCATTATTTTAAAAATATATATTTTTACCTTATCTTCGATCAGACATTTTTCAATAAAATATTATTATACGCAATTCCAAAATTTTTTTAAAAAATTTTTTAACCACACTTTTTTCATCAAAATATTATTTCAAAATGCATTTTGGACCAAAAAAAATGGGGCTCAAACAGGCTCATAGTGAAAACAATTTGGTTTAATTACGCTAAGACCCTCCTTTTCTAAAAAAAAGTTCAAATGTACCACACTTACATTCTTAATCATAATTACCTATTTTAATTAAATGTTTGATCAGATTTACCCCTATTTTAATTTAACTACACTTTTAAGTGTCCATTTAGCCTCATTATTCAACATTATAATGAGAGAAATAATAACTTTTTTAAAATGTGTGGTTAAAATAGAAGGAAATTTTTTTGATTTACGCGTAATATTATTTAATTGAAAAATGTGTAATTGATAATAAAATTAAAAAAATGAATTATAATTTAATGGGGAATAATGTAGGTCAAACAGGGGGCTAAACCTTCAGAATCTTCCTCATCATTCCAAACGGCATTAACCACTAAATCCTAAATATCCCCCCTCACAAAAACCAACCCCCACCCCTCGCCAGCCCCCATTGGTGTAGATTGAACAACCTATATTGCCGCTACTTTTCTCTGACCTTTCTTACAAATACCAACTAGTCACCACCACGTTGCCACAATACCCATCATTGCTACCACTTCCACCATCAAACCCAAACAACTTCATTGGCGCTGCTGTTGCCACCAGCATCCCCGTGCCACAACAACCATCGCAACCACTCTTTCGAATTCTACTACCACAATCCAATCTCCTTCTTTTTCTTCTGCTTATTTGTTTTTAATTGTCGCCCTCATCAACGAGTTCATCTCATATCATATCTAGATCTAATTTTTCATAGTTTCTTATCTTTTTTGAAAAAAATCAAACATATTGTTGTGGATGCTTGCAACTGTACATTATGGAGTGGTTGTTGATGGGTGGTCTTGTTGTTGGAATATTATCCTTCAAGAGAATGGAGAAGATAATAAAAAAGAAAGAATCAAGAATGCTAAATATGATAGATGAAAGCCCAAGAATGGCTAACAAAGAGGGGGTGAATTGATTTTTAAATTTTTTTTTTGTAAAATTAGTCTAATTTCAATCAAATAAGAAATAGATAGATTAACTTAAATGACGAATATAAGTATAAAAACGATAAGTAAAAGGGAAAGAAGATGAAAACGATATATTTATGGAGATTCGATCCCAAACTTGATCTACGTCCCCCGTTACTAAACTCTCTGTCACGAGCAATGCCTTTTCCACTATCGTGATTGACTTATGGTGCAATCCAACCATTTACAACGTTTCTGGTGACTTTCAAATAAGGAGCACTTATTCTTTTACAATATTGAGCTTTACGGGACCTCAACACGACCCGAACTATTGAGCTTTACGGGATCTCAATATGACCCTCGATTCAAACGAGTTTTACAAGTGAAATCTTCTCTTCTTAATGA